ATTTATAGAAAAATAAAATTTCATATAACTTTCCATTCAGATCTTTCAGAGTATTTTGTTTATATGTTTGTAATGGTGAACATATAAAGAATGTATTGAAACAATGGCCTTGTAAATTATTCTATTATCCAAATCCTAGAACAATAACTTATGCAAAACATTTAACCTTAATATACCCTTTACAGTTCAAGATTTAGTTCTTCATTAAAAAGTGAACTTTAACATATATAAATTTGATTTAAAATTTTTTGAATGTTATTAAAAAAACTTTCACTCATTGAAGTTTGCCATTTTTTATGGTTTAGTTTTTTTAAAAATTTATATTGGATACATAGCATATGCTTTTTGTTTTTGAAGACGTAATCTACTCCAAATGTTCTATTTTCCTTCTGTTAGATAATTATACATTTTTAAAGACATACTACATGCCAATGATAAGCTGGTTTCATTTAAGCTGGTTCCAATTTTCTCAAGCAATTCTTATTTCTCTGGCCTGGTATTTTGGGCCAAATTCCAATGACTGTGGTTTGTGACATTTTTGTGTAATTTCCATGATTTCTAAAAGTAAAAACACCATTTTTGAATCACCTTTTCAGTATTACCCCTACATAATTCCCTATACAGTGACAAGATCAAATTGCCTTTTACATTTAGTACTTCACTTTTAAAAACTTTATAATAAACCCTAGATTTACTAGAGTCAGATCCCACAATTTATTTCACAAACTGGATATTCTGGGGCAATAATCAGTAATTTTCAAGTCCATCTGACACATCTCTTGTGGTTTAAGACTCTCATTTTATTAGATTTTTTTTGGGTTTTGGTTTTCTTGAGGAAATCTTATAAGGCAACTTTATTAAAAGTCAGGTTTTCCTTGTGGCACTCACTATCTGAATAAAGTAGCTTAATGAATTGTTTCACATTAAGCTTTTTAATGCAAATTATTAAGCAATAATTAAATTGCTTAAAATCTACCAAAATTTGCATTGATTTATGAGGTAAACATTTGCCTATAGCTTCCTTTTAAGAACAATTCTCAACCTACAATTCAGACAGATACACATAAATACAAGTATCTGTCAACTACTCCCTCAACATTAATAGTACACAGAAGAACAAAAGGGGACAAAATTAGGCAAAATTATTCTCTAATTACTATATTGTCATAGCTGTTCCTTCTAAAATGTACACAGGAAAACTTTTTATTAACAAATCCAACAACCTAATAATCAATTTACCAAAACATCAAATACTGGAGTTCTCCTTCAAGTAACTGATGGGGGCAACAAATAACCCAATTACTTAGCCCAGATGTTAAAAACTGACACCTTCCTTGATAATTACAAAGTAATTTGTAAATGTAAGATGACACACCTTTAATGAGACTTGTAGGAGAAAAAGAGTTTACATTAGTCACTAAATCTCAGATTTGAAAAATGTGACAGTATGTGAGAAGTTATAAAATAAAGTATTTTTAAAAGCTTTGTGTATTTACTGTAATTAGGTTGTGTTGGAAACATGGTAGAACACTTAGAAAAACTAACCCCTCACACGAAATAACCAACAGAAATGTAATTTTGCTTAAAATTCAAAGGACTCTTTTTTCCTATAAAAGAGTCATTTAATGACATTCCAAAACATCTAAAAAATGTTGTTCAATGGAAATACCACTATGTTCTAAAATATTTTAAACTTTCTATATGCACAAAATACACAATAAACTTGTAATTCAGAAATAAAAAATTGTATCTCAATATTGCCATTGTTTTTCCCATACATGTATTATTACTCTAAAAAATAATTTTTAACATAGAAAAATTTGAATTTGTGGCTCAAGCTCCTAAGTCTAGGGTGAGATAATTGGGACATACTGGATAATTTCCCTATTTTTACTCCCCTGTTATAGCCCAATGTTATTCTCTACTCTGACTGTAAAAACTGGTGTTACAGCTTGACCCTAGAAGGGGAGGTTTCTTGTTTTGCTTTGTTTTTTTCGTTAGGGGGATGGGAGGAGGAATCATTTCATTGGACCATATTACAATAATTTTGACAACAAAATGTCTTCATCACCTACTATTCATTCTCATACTGTACTAATGATTGTGTTAGCTTAAAATATGTTCATTGGTACCAATTATCATTGGTCAGAAAACAATTTTCAGTCTAAAATATCTGAATCTCAGGAAAAGGATCACAAGATTTTTTTGAGTAAACTTCCAGGAGTTTCTATTTTGTGAAGAAAATATGAAAGGATTACTGTGTTACATAGAAATAACAAAGCTTTATAAACACAAGTGTAAAATTACCATAAGACATTTAAAATAATTGAAATGAACACTACTGGAAAAAGGCTTATAGAGGGACTAAAAAGATGAGAACCAGATCTCAGAAACTGATGAATTTAGCAAAAAAAAAAGTAAAATAATTCAAATAAACTTTGTGCTTCATCTCTACAGTAGTTTTATTTTCCTCTTTATAACCTCAAATTTTGCTGCAAAATACTAGTTTCCTTAAGATGTTTCTTTATTACCTTCCCAACTGCAAAGACAGTATTTTAAGGCTACTTCTACAACATAAAACTTTTATTAATCAAATTATTTCACAACTAGTTTAACTGCAAATGTAGCAAGTGTCTCAGTTCTAAAAGGCACTTACGTTTTTGGGTATCAAGCAGAAAGTTATACTTTCAGTTAGTCTTGATGAGGAAATACAAGACCCACTGGAAACCTATTCACCACCTAGAAAAACAGTATTTCCCTCTAAGTACTGGCTGGACCCCCACTTCAAAGTGGGTATGTCAGAAGTTTCTCAACTCCTCCCAAGTCCCTTTTGCTGAGCTTCTGTCTGCCAACAGCAAATCCAAACCGCAGAAGACTCTTTCTTCAGAATTTTTTTGCTAAACATTTTTGGCACTAAGGCTATCCAACACATCAGAGATTTTCAATAAATTCCACATTTTTGCTAGAAAGCCAGGGGAGTGTTTTATCTAGAAAAATCTTGTCTTTTTGTCTAGAAAAAATTTCTGTATCTGCCACAGCCTATCTTAGTCTGCTTTCAATGTTGTAATGTGTGAAACTATGAAAACCTAATCTATGAAAAAGGCAGGTACCAAATCACATAGAGCATGCTATCCTTTGTGTGTAAAATGGTAGTATGCTTCTAGATGGACAGGCTATTCCAAAAGAAACAGGTAACACCAAATACTCTGAGGAGAAGAACTGGGAGGCTTGAAGGATAGGAGAGTGAGAACCATTTCTTTTCACTGTATTCCCTTAGGTAGTATTTGCATTTTATTTTATTTTTTAATTGTATTATTTTGCTGGGTGCCAGCATTGCTTTTTAAGGAAAACAATGAGAAAACACTCCTGAGAAATAAATTTCCTGTGAAATGCAATTTAGTCAATAATATTTGAGAATATACTAAGTATAAATTTCCACACGTAATTTAGGTACACGATAATCTGATGAAATGAATACAAAGCTTCAATGGAATATCAATTGGGTTATATTGTATCTATATATAAATGTACATACACATCCTTCAGACTATATCAATTTTAAGAATCATCCACACACATCCAAATAGTGTTTCCGGCATGAAGATACGTAATTTCTAGAATGAGATACAAACAATTGACAGGGAGAAATGTCAAAAATTGTAGATTTTTCTTCCCCAGAACTGTTTACCTATAGTGATGGAATACTATTTGGCTTATCAAATTCCTAAGCAGTCAGAAAGTGACTTACTGCAGAGAACCTTCAGATGTGATAAAGTGCTTTTAATTTAAAGATGGAAGCATTCCAGATGTATATGCACTCATAACAGGACCCAATGCAGTTGAAAAACAAAGTAAGCAAAAATTGTAATACAACCACTTAATGTTAACTGGGATGTCAAAGTTCTACAAAGAAAATTACATGAGATGAAATGTATAGCCTGAAAACAGAGTAACTAACAATCATCTGGAAAAAATTAGAATTGTAAACACCTTTCAATTTGGACAACTAATCAATATGGAGATTATGATAATGAATTTTATTTTTGAAATACATTTGAACTTGAAAAATAAAATATAATGGTCTACAAATAACTTTTATATTCACAGATGTCATAACACAATTATTTTTTACTTACCCTGTTGTCTCTGAGAAACGTTTGAAATGACTTTCTATTTTATTTAAGCTAATACATACAAGTAAACAATACAATTTAAACTAAACTGGAAACGTAAAATCCAAACTGTAGTTTTCAGAAGGATCCCAGCAAGTGTTTAAATACATACATAAATGCTTCTTTGTGTATCATTAGTTTGTTTGTTTTTTTAAGTAGGTAATTCCAGTGCAGGTGAGGATGAAGACATAGCCCAAGTGTTTCAAGTTCATAAAAGGCCTGTAAAAGTAGCATCATGTTAAAACTGTAGCAATATGAATCTTGCTAAGTCAATATTGATGTCTGTAAACAATTCTTGTAACCTTGCATTTTATTTTTACAGTATATTAAAACATTACTCTTAACATTCGTCTGTCACTTCGTTCCCATAGGTGACCTATGACTTTTTCCCCCCTAGAAAGGGCAGATTCTTTGCAAAACTATACTGAGATTAACAAAACAATAATTTAAATCATAAGAACAAAACCATGGAACACATTGACACCAAAGGGCTAAAACCAAACAGAAAAAGGAATATGTAATACTGTTCTTGCCTTCAAAACATGTACTGTCAGGTTAAACTTAAATCGTTTCCACACACCCTTTTCTGGAAAAAAAAAAAAAAAAAAAACCAAAAAAACCGCGTAAAATATTGCTTAAGAAAGTACTCTCCGTGTTTTTCTTTCCCCTGCTCCAGTTTCCAGGAAAACTTACAAATTTTATCTTCATTTCCCCGTTATCATTATTATTGCTGCAAGATTGTTTTCAAAATTTAATCAATATGCTTTGCACTTCTTTTGTCTTATGCTTTGTCTTGTTCAGTATTTAGTAGAGAGTTCGTAATGTCTAAGTATTCAGATAAAACTGCAAGTCAAAGGATGACAAAGTTTTAAAAATCTGTTTATCTATGGTTTTGTATTTTTTCAAAGAAACTACAATTTTCACCTGATTTCTGCATCCATTTTCATACCGCTTGAACAGGTTATATTTTTCCAACAACAACAAAAAGGCCCATTGCGAACAACTAGAAATATTTGGAAGTTTTGATGTTTTGTCTTTTCTTTTTGATCATGATAGTGATGGGAGAATAAACTTAAGTCAGAGATATTTATTGAGAGAAAGAGAGAAAGAACACACACAAAGAGAAAGAAAGCAGTAAAAACAACTTTTCAAGTGTAAACTCAGTATGAAATATTTTAGGAAATAAAAATGTTCCCCCTCTTTCCCTTGTTCAATCTCCATCCCCACAGAGGAAAAACAGAATACTTACAAGTTAGTATCTGCGTATTTATCAGTGTATGTGTTTTCTCTCTTCTTTGGGCTTGGATACTTTGAGCTAATTTGGAAGTGCCCGTTTGGTTGCCCACAAAATGATGCTTAAGGGTCTAAAGACGCATAAATTAGGGAGCCCTACAATGGCAAAGGACGGTCATTGTACCTCCTCTCTTTATGCGCTCTTACGGTGGGACCCAAGAGTCTTTTTTTTTTTTTTTAACACTTTAGGTGATGGAGCGAATGAGGGACTGGTAACTGGAGAGGACGAAGCGAGCTCCCGCAACACCCTCCCCCCAAACTTAGCAGTATGTTCCCCACTCCGCAATTATACCAGACTTTGCATCGAAGTCGCTTTAGAAAACTGGGGTCTGGACGGGACCAGGCGAGGAGTCCTTCCTGTCTAGCCTCGACGCCAACCTCCGAGTTTCTATTTCTGGAGATCGAGGGCTGGGGTAACGGCCGCAGATGGAGAGGCGAAGGATGGGAAAAGCAACGGGGGGTGATCTTTCCAAGAAACACCCAACTGCCGCTTTTACCTTTTTTGCCTCCATTATGGGGCGGGGGCTGGGGGGAGCGAGAGAAAAAGATGTCAATGACCATTGTTTGCTCGTTTGGGATGTTGCTCCGCCCCCCGAGTCTGTCGTAAACCTGGCGCCGGACTAAAATAAACCCCAGATCCCGCAGCCCGGGGGGCTCGCCGAGCCGCCGACTCCTCGTCACAGGCTCAGCTGCCGCAGCCGAGGTGGCGGCGACGAGCGGCCGCCGCGTCCTGCCGGCGCGCGCCCCGGGCCCCCTACCTGGTCGCCCGCCGAGCCATGTCGTTGAGCCCAAAGCACACGACGCCCTTCTCCGTGTCCGACATCCTGAGCCCCATCGAGGAGACCTACAAGAAGTTCGGCGGCGCCATGGACGGCGCGCCACCCGGCCTGGGGGCGCCCCTGGGGGCCGCGGCCGCCGCCGCCTACCGCGCGCCGCCACCCGGGCCCTCCTCGCAGGCGGCAACCGTGGCAGGCATGCAGCCCCCTCACGCCATGGCGGGTCACAACGCGGCGGCCGCGGCGGCGGCGGCAGCAGCGGCGGCGGCGGCGGCCGCCACCTACCACATGCCGCCTGGCGTCTCGCAGTTCCCGCACGGCGCCATGGGCGGCTACTGCAACGGCGGCCTGGGCAACATGGGCGAGCTGCCCGCCTACACGGACGGCATGCGGGGCGGCGCGGCCACCGGCTGGTACGGCGCCAACCCGGACCCACGCTACTCGTCAAGTGAGAGGGGCCAGGAGCGCGGGACTGCGGGCGGCTCAGGCGTTTCCCGCCACAGCCGGGGGGCGCGGGACGGGGTGCGCGCGGCTTAGGCGGTCCTGGGACCTAGCGGGCGCGCTGGGCGTTCTGGGACGCGGCCCGGGACGCGGGGGGTTTCCGCGGACTCTGGGCGCGCGGGGGGTCCTGGGACCCGAATGGTTACGCGCGCGGGGTCCTGGGACCTGTTGCGTGCGGTGCCCTGGGACCGGCCGAGGGAGCGCGGGGCGTGCTGGGGCCCGGGGCCGCGGCGCTCAGGGGGTCCTGGGATTCAGCGAGGGCCCGGCAGCGTCGCGGCCGCCGCGGCGAGAAGAGAGCGGCGGCTGGAGCGGCTCCCGGCGGGCCTGGAGCTCACCCGCCTTCCCCCTTGGGCCTCTTCCCCAGTCTCCAGGTTCATGGGGCCGTCGGCGGGCGTGAATGTGGCCGGCATGGGGTCGCTGACGGGCATCGCGGACGCCGCCAAGTCGCTGGCCCCGCTGCACGCGGCGGCGGCGGCGGCCGCTCCGCGAAGGAAGCGCCGCGTGCTCTTCTCGCAGGCGCAGGTCTACGAGCTGGAGCGGCGCTTCAAGCAGCAGAAGTACCTGTCGGCGCCCGAGCGCGAGCACCTGGCCAGCATGATCCACCTGACGCCCACGCAGGTCAAGATCTGGTTCCAGAACCACCGCTACAAAATGAAACGGCAGGCCAAGGACAAGGCGGCGCAGCAGCTGCAGCAGGAGGGTGGCCTGGGCCCGCCGCCGCCTCCGCCGCCGTCCCCGCGCCGCGTGGCTGTGCCCGTGCTGGTCAAGGACGGCAAGCCGTGCCAGAACGGTGCCAGCACGCCCACCCCTGGCCAGGCCGGTCCGCAGCCGCCGGCCCCGACGCCCGCGCCTGAGCTGGAGGAGCTGTCGCCCAGCCCACCCGCGCTGCACGGCCCGGGGGGCGGCCTGGCGGCCCTGGACCCGGCCGCCGGGGAGTACGGCGGTGGTGTCCTGGGCGCCAACCTGCTCTATGGCAGGACGTGGTGACAGCGAGGGCGCCCCGGGGCTAGGACCTGGTGCAGCCGAAGGGTCTGCAAGAAACTGCTAGAACGGATGGGGGAGGCATGCGAAAACTGACTCGCGCGTGTAAACGGCGATTCAAAACGAACCGATCTCAGAGAGGGGCAGGCTGTGAACCTCTTTGCTGGGGGCGGGGGACAGCGACAGCCCGGAAACCGAGTAGTGTAACATTATGCCACGAGGCTTTGAGGTGATTTTCTCGTCCTAGAAGTTCTTAAATGACGCGAAAAGATTGGAGAAATTCACACGGCGTTCTTAACCACAGCTCTCAAAGTTGGAAACTTTGTTGGCGTTTGTAACTCTAAAAATCAACCCAGCTTTAACAATGAGTCCTTTCTGAAGTGGAGTTTATCTTGGGAGATTAATTTTCGAAGGGCCCCATAAGTGCAATTTCATTAATGTTTGATTGAAAGTAAATTGAATTGTAGCTCAAGGTGGATCATACACATAGCAACATTATTGCAGAGGAATTACTGCCATTTAGGTAATAGAGCAATGGAATCAAAATAGAATACTGATTATATGGATTGATGGAGCTTTTTAAATTTAATGCTGATTTCAAAATGTTTTGATGGTTATTTGGCAAATGAGTGTTTGTATGTTACCCTAAAAGAGGATTTTCCCCCCTAAGATGCAGCTCACCATAAGAAAGGAAGGTTGTATACTATTTGTATATGCAATCTGGTCTCCCAAAATCAACTGAGAAAATAAATAACCCTATCCTTCTGTAAACATGGTATTTACTCTTTTTGAGGTATTTTCTTGTCTGAATTTGAATACCTTGATAAAGTACTAGAACAAACAATTAAAATTTCTAGAATTTACATCAATTAATCTATATTCAAAGCATGACAAGAAGAAGAAAGGTGATGTATTGAATTGTAATCAAGATATAAGGAATGAGTAACTAAAATATTTATAATTTTCCCACCATATTTAGAACTTAGGAGTTGCACTGGTTTTGTTGGTGTTTTATTGTACAAATAATGTATTTACTCTTTAATATGTCGATTTATATTTCCTATGTTTCAAATGGATATTTAAATATAACTTAAAAGAAACAAGTTCTTTTTTCTAAAAGTCAAGTGGTCATTTCTTTTTCATTAAGTTTATACAGGACTTGATGCGTTTTTAAAATACTAGTTGTCATGATGTGACAACACAGCTCAGTTAACTCATAAATGACTGGTATTGGAGTAAAAATACTAAAAGCTGAAGAATGTGTGTTTATAAAATTAATGAAAATTAAAGAAATAACGTGGATAAAGCATGATTTGCAAATGATCAAAACAAATAGTTACCGGAGACCCCAAACCTCTTCTACATTTGAGATTTTAGAATTACAGCTTGGGGCTGAAACATTGTGTTTCACTTCATTGTTAGAACGTTTTTCTGAATGTGCAACATGAATTCATAAGAAGGTGTTTTAGAAGTTAAACTTGCACTTTTTCTAGACTCTTTTGCATAGTAATTTTTTAAAACTCTAGTTTCTTTCACAGAGGGAGAAAACCACTAAAGAAGCAAGGAAATCACCCTTTATCAAGGGGTTGTAAAAGAATTTTTAGAAAATGAGATCTAATTTTTGAGACATTTTATGTAAGAACAAATAATTTGAGCAGACAGATTTGTATGAAAATGTTACAATACACCCACAAAATTCTCTCAACTTAGGGGTTTTTTGGCATATTAATGGAAATGACTTTAGAAATGTTAACTAATCTAGCAAGACTATTATTGATGTGCCAGATTTCAGAATGTTTGTTTATATTAGTTTGATTTCCTCACAATAGTACCATAATTCTGAAATTTTACTTGTAGAAAACGTTCTAAAAGTCCACATGGTTGGCAGTGTTTTTTTGTTACAGTCCAATACCTACAAAAACAGTAATAGCTTATAGTCCAAGGGCTCCGGGTAACATATTTAAAGAAAATAAGTCTTCATGGACAGTTTATTTCTGGAACAAAAAAATCCTTTAGACTGAAGGCATGCGCTTTCTTTTAAAAATATGTCACATTAAGAAGAAACAACTTTTATATACAGTATTTTCTGAAAGTGTATTTTGTGTGGGCGTATCTTTTTCCTTTCAGCATTCCTTTAAGCAGTAAAAAACCCCAAGCCAGAAATAATTGCTGCAAAGGGCTTAACATTCTATACCCAGAGACTTACTGAGTGTATGTGTGCATATCCTGAAATTAGGGAAAGGTTTGATTCTTGCAGCTTAAAATAGAAATGTTTTTACCATAGAATCCCACCTTCTGATTAATGCAAAACAAGAGCTGTTTTCTTCTTTCTGCAATTAGTGCTTTGCAGATCTTTTATAAAAATACAAACGGCCGGACTAGGTGAAACTCATTAACTGAAGAGGAGGATAAGTGTCTCCACAACTAAGAGGGAGGACTGGCGCAGGGTCTGAGTGAAACAAAGGCCCCTCAAAGTTTGGCAGAGGCCACAGCAAACCTGTTTCAAAAATGCTTACTCAGCAGATGTGACCTTTTCCTAAATGTTTTTGGGTTTTACAAGAATCTGACTTACCTTTTCCAATTGAGGCACGGAAACCAAAAGCCAGAATCAAAGTTGCAGACAGGAACATAGGGATTGCAGGTACTTTTCTGTAATATGTGTTGGGATGTATATTGAAGTGCTGTGTGTGCGAGAGTGTGTGCAGTTTAGAAGGACACAAGAAGGGTGTTTTGTATATGGAAGGATGGGGGTGTAACCCAGTTGTCTTCTATTTAAGTCTTTGCCTAGAGCTAAAACTTAATGGTCAGAACAAGTAGTCAGTCAGACTTCTATCAACACAGATGTTGTGTTCAAACTCCATTCGGCTAGCGACTGTTTACTTTCAATTTAAAGCAAATCAGAGACTCAGTCCTGTTCACTAAATGCAAGCATCTTCCATAGACTTGCTTTGTTAACTGCATTGAATACTGATTATTTTAAAAGACTTTTTAGAATAAATTTGTGAGCCATAATTATATAAAGACCTATCAATTGGATTTTTAGATGTGAATTTGTGCCGAAGAGAACATAATGCATTATGTGGTGGCAACACAAATTTCAGACAGAGTTCAAAGCATGGATAATACTCCCTCACTGCTTACCATAACCCTAATGTGTGGATGAAACCCTGTATGTTAATTATTTGAGTACAGTTTTTTGAAACACTATTACTTGTTATCCTGCAACCCAGTGAGAGAAAAATGATACATTTTTAAACATATAAATACCCTTTCACTACTAGTGAGATTTGGTGAACATCTGGGGAAGTTTCAAAGAAGATACCTAGACTGGGGAACTGCATTCGCATCCTATCAGGAATTTGCGCTCTCCAGTAAGTATTGAGATAACTTTGTGATTTCAATATCACTTTTGTTTTTATTATTTTTAACTTTAGAGGTAATGGAAGTTTCTGGGAGAGGTGGGTTTGGTTTTGTTTTTGCTTTAGAATGTTTACCTGCAATTGAATGAAATGCCTTTCGTTTTTTGAAATTCCATGTAACCTTCAGTAATTGTTTTAGGTGACTTCTAAAAAAAAAGTTTCACTAGGAACATTGCCTAAATTTAAGTTGTGCAAACTGTTTTGCAGTAGTGAACAGCTGTATTCCTATTTCATACACATCAATTAAAGCCTGTTCTCTTTTGGCCCTCATTCCATAAATAAGGCATGGAGAAACAAGCCACAGGAGGATTCTGCTTTACTGGGTGGAGGAGAAATCCATCGAGAATGGGCCGTTTGCTAGTTCATTCGTTCATTCCTGATGGGAAATAGCAGAGCAGTGGATCACCAGGAATAGAGTCTGGCGAGATCGCAGCTCCACGACCCTTTCGGGGTGGGCAGAAGGCGTCAGTCAGTGGGACGGAGCCAGATCGAGGAATTGGGAGCTCTAACTTGACTCTTCAGGGAATGTCCGGATTTTAGATTTCAAAGCATAGCTAAATTCGGTTACTTTCACACTTGGAACTTAAAACAGCAGCCTCGGAAGGAAGACCATTTCTGGTATTCTACAGCTCTGCTGCTTGCATCTGTACAGGGAGTTGAGATGCAGCGGCAGGTTGAGAAGCTGCGGCGCCGCGTGAGGGGACGCGGACGAGGAAGGAGGGTGCGCCCGAGGGTGGAGGAAGGAGCTTTCCGCGCCCATCCTGTGCGTGCGGCCGGCTCGCGGGGCTCCCGGGAAGGCCAGTCGCGGCGTCTGCGGGGTGGGCCGGGCGGCTAATGAGCCGCTGGGGAGACCCAGGCGCCGGGCGCGTGCCCCACGTGCATCGAGGGCCGGCACTTCCCAACCCCGCTGGGAGAAAGTTGAGCCAAGCACCTAGGACCTGAGCCCTGAGTAGCCCGCGGGTCCCGGGAGCCGCCACCATCCCGCCCCCGGCTGCGAGGTCGCCGCGCCCGGGCCCTTCATTTCGGTCCAGGCGCTCCCAGCAAGGAAGTGCTGGGACCCCGGCCTCACCCGGCCTGTTCCTGGCATCCCACGTCATCGTACGAAAATTAACCTATCGCTCATTACACCCAATTTGCCTTTGTAACGCTAAATGGCAATTTAATACCAGTTTGTAGACGGCTTTGTACATTAACATACATTACCCCATTTGATCTTTAAAGGGAAGACAACTGCTCATTACGGGCCCTTAGCCCCAGAGTAGTCAAGCTGTTTCCAGGTTCTAAGATTTTTTTTTTTGTTTAATAGAAGACCCTGAAAAAATGTGCCGTTTAAAGAGAATATAATTGCGTACAAATAACTACTTAAAATTGGCCCAAAGAATTTATTTTTACATCAGAATTTGGAGGAGATATTTACAGCTTTAAACATTAAAGCTCTAAAAAGCATTGTGCTTATTGAAATGGGCAGGGCATTTTCCTGGAAGATTCAAACGCGGAGACAAGTTGGAAAGAGATGAAGACTAAGGATGGAAAGGCAGCAGCAGGGGTGAGGTCAGGAGCAGGGCCTGAAGCTGGCTCAGGGAGGGAACACCTGCCAATTCTGCAGAGGAAATCTGTCATCAGTTTCTCCATCAGGCCTTTTGCTCAGATGTCTTCCAAACAGTGCTTTAAACATTCAGTCAAAAACTGAATTCTCAAGACAGCTTAAAATAAAACTAAGTCAAAACTAAAGGTATGAGAATATAAAGAGTGGAATTGTGGGTTTTGACTGTGAACTATGAACAGTAAAACATTTACTCCTTTGGAAAATGCAATGCTTTACTGAGATAGCTATCTATATTTTTAATACTTGGGAGATAAACTTATAGAGAAATTTAATAGAAGACATTATCACTTGAATGTTGAGCGAAGGCAATTATGTAAGTGTTGGATTGGTAATTCCTGATGGAGAGACTCTTTGTCTCAACAATAAAGGATCCTGCTCTGGTCACCCATCATTAGCAATGAACTCAATAGCTACAAAATACCTTCCTATTCAAGGTTGAGGTGAGATTTTTTTTCACCCCCCCAGACTAAGTTTAGCAAGTACGCTTCAGTTGAATATTAAAGCAAAAATGCCCTAAGTCAGGAGGTCAAAGAGAAACTTTACCTCACAATCTTGGGCTAGGAGGGAAAAACTGAAACAAAGCAATAGTCTTTGTATGTATGTCTAAATATGTTTTGGTAATCAAATGAAAATGCATACGTAAGTGCCATATGTGAACTCCAAACACACATTTAAGCAATTTATAGTGTGCTTAGTGTAGCAAGGAAAAACATGAGTACAAATTGCAATCTAATGAAATACAAAAA